GTGTTCAGTATGGAAAACACAAGTCAAATGGCGTCCATACATTATTTAGTTTTTCAATTTGTTTTATTAAGAGGCGGTTCCCCAATAACTTTATAAGCACCACACACTACGTAGACTTAAAAATTATAAAGTATTTTTCAAATCTACATATGTTATGAATAGTGCTTATTAAGACATTTAGTAATCGGCCCTAAGATTCATAAACGTATTTACGCTTATTTATATGTACGTATGTATATATGTGGTATGTATATACGTATATGCTACTTAAAGTATTTTATGCTAATATATGTACATATTGTTATTAGTCGGTTAGATAAAAATTTATGGGTTTAAGCAAAGTAGCAGATTCTTTAAAGTTTGTATAATTTTTTTTTTTACTGCAATAAATCAACATAAATTGAAAGATAATTTACATGTTCCGTTTCAGTTAGGTGATACATAAGGTGGCATAACGAGTTATAACAATCATTATTTTCGTCATAAAATTTGTGAAAACGTGCCCCTTTATGACACCTCATGAATCCACTACATATTTACATTCATATCACATAAATATGTACATATTTAGTAGCTTTTGAAAATCATATGGAAGTGTTATTTTTGAGAAGTCTCAATGCGATGATAATAATGTTTTAGTCCCTTGTATACAATTATAGATTAGTTATAGTTATTATGAAATAAAGATTTTTATTTGTCGGAGCATTTCAGAAACTAACTATATTGTGCAACTTTTTTATAGGAATTTTAGAGTAAACCGTGCGGTTAACTACTTTTATATAAATAAATTATGGTAGGCGGTATTGTTAAACGTTTTTTTTAGCTTTTACTTAACATATAAGTTAGTAGTCTTTCAGATTAATGATTATATAGCATTATAAATGGTAATCTGCCATTATGTTTCTGTATTTCTCTGTATAATTAGATAAACAATTCTTATTTTCTACTTAGTATAAATTTTAAAACACTAGATTTTTTAGCCAACATCTAAATATACCAAGGTGGCAAAATTTAATGCTAATTGGCAATTTGTGAAATACACTAGAGTTAATAACATTTTGTTGGTTTTATTTTTTAACATTTGTAATTCTTTTATCTTTCCAATTAATAAATTCTATTATAATCGAATTATACGCATTTGAAGTTGTAGAAAATAATACAAATAAATAAAAATAGCAAATTAGAATACTTAACCGCACAAGCCGCATAATATGCCCTACAAACTGCTGCATTTGCTTCTAAACAAATTGCTTCATCGGTGATTGTTCTTTCTCACACAGACCGTGTTTGTTTAAAAGCAAATATAAAATGTAAGAAAAACCAAACTACGCTTCATACATTAATCAAACTTAAGAAATAGAGGTATAAGCAAAGTCAAAACAGAAATTACAATAATATAAATGAAGTAGATAAGTAACTCAATTGGCTCACTTGTTGACACATTATTTTTGTCGTTGTTCTTTTTTGTTGGTGCCCATTTGTGTGCTTTATTTCTACGTTGTTTATGTTAATGTTGAATTCGCACCAAACGCTACCGCTGATCTTGTCAGTTGACTCAGCTGCACAGGCTGTATCTCACTTCTTCGAAGACAAATAGTTCATATACTTGGCAGTTTGGCGTGCATTACGCACCAGTTCGCTATTCTCATTTTTCGTATCCCACGAAATTGTCATCGGGCTGAGCTTGCACATTGTGCGTCATCTTCCCAGCGGTCTTGCCGCTGTTGCGACTGCCGGCCAAAGTTACGGTTACGCTGACGTCGGTCAAATGTGCCTGACGCTTCAGCTAGCCAAACTGCTCTGGCTACTATAGCGTGCGTTGAAGTTGCGTGTGCGCTGCTGATTTTGCCTATGCGTTGAGGGACTTTGACTACGGCGATACGGTGGTGCATTGTTAGCACCCTCGTGCTGCGTCATCGAAGTGTCGTGATTTGCCTGGACGTGGAAGCGTACGTGCACGCGATGAACTGCGACTATTCGATTCGGGTCCATTGGAGCGATACGCTGAGTTCTCATCATGGTAGGAGTTATTCATTACATTGTGACGTGATTGCCGCCACGAGTTGCTATGTATATTGGTGTCTTTGTTGTTGTTGTTGCTGCTGTTGCTTTTGGAAGCGCGGTGGTTTATCATAGTTCTGACGATTATTAAAATGGCGATTGCCGCGACGGTAATTGTTGCCGCGTTCATAATTGCTTATATACGAACGCTCGCTACGATCATCTGCATGCTGTGACTGTCGATCCCAGTTCGAATTGGCAATAGAGTTGAAATTACTGCCACTACGTTCCATCTTCTCTTGGGAGTGTCGCAAACGATCATTTATGCTGTACAGTCGAATGCTGCCACCGTCGCTGCGCACACTATGATCATCGTCAAAACTAGCACTGTAACGGCGTTGTTGATTACGCTGAGGCCCATCGTTGCTTTGGGGATCACTTTCCCGATTGAAACGCGGTGCACGCCAGCGAGGTAGTGGTTTTGTCTGATCATCCTCTTCACCCTGCGGTGATTTCTGATCTACATGCCCACTAGCCCTGCAAAGTGAAGAAGCAATCATCATTGTGTGACAGGTGAGGCAACTTAATTAATCTTAAATTCTATTTAATTCTTTGTTGTTTTAAACTTCGCTCACCTCTCATTACCATCGCGTTGCTGCTGTTTTAGTGGGCGTGGTGAATTGCGAGGCTTTTGGGCACGCCTTGCATTTCGGCTTAAAGAATCTTCATCATTGTAGCGACTATTGCCGGAAACATTCAACTTGTCGCGCCCATTGCTCAAGCGACCGTGCATACCAGAGTCAACACCTACTCCTACACCGCCACTACCATCTTTCAAGTCTTGTTCATAACTGTTAAAGTCATTGCCAAATTCACTTTCATATAGCGAGTCTTCGCATACTTGTTCACTCCATTTCTTTGTCGATGGCTGTGAATCGTAAGAGTCATTTGCGGCATTTTCACTATCGCCATTTTCATAAACAGTGTTGGCAGTCGCCTCATTTGGCGCACAGTAATCTTGGTCTTGCGGCACAAAGCTATTTGTTTTCACCAGTGGCTGTACCCGCGGTTGCAATGGCGATAAGGTTTGTTGTTTCTGCAGCATCTGCAATTGCTGTTGCGTTTGCTGTTCTACACCTGGCATAAATACTGGCAACGATTGCGGTTGCATACAAGCATTAACATTGTTGTTGCCTTCATCCTCAACATCCTGCACTAGATATTTAGTGTACATCTGTTCTAACTGTGCACCCAAGTTGGTAAAGTTACTATAGTACAGATCAAGTGTCATTAGCAGCAATGCCTTAACAGTCGCACTAAGCGCAGGCTGCTCAATCAAATTACGTCTTATGTGATAAAGCAGTTGCGTCAATTCGTTTTTATGTTTTATACGAATGATATCACCATTAAGGGTGATTTGTGAGAGTATCAACTTGGCCAATTTCACATCAATTGGTTCTAAAGCGCTGACTTCGCGAATAAGTAGGCTTAGCAAAGATTCGCCTAAAATTGTGATGGGCGATTGATCGGCCAGGCGGACACGATTATAATATTCGCCTAATAATGTAATGGAATTGTAGAGGCGTTCTTTATCATGAATGCGGTAGGTATCGGCATTAAGATAGTTTGCTTCGAGCACCTTCAACATGGCACTACGTATTTTGATATCTTTCATTGCCAGTTGGTCAAAGTTGTGCGAAGAGAAGAGCATCGCAAATTTCAATGCCATATCACCATCGCCGAGAGCTTTGTCATTGATATAGTCCATACATTCACTATAAATAAAATATTAAACAAAATAAAATAATTTGTAAAAACTTAATAGATGTACATATCGTCGATGTTTTTGCAAAACCGCCTATCTTACGGCACTCAAAAGTTTAAAGGATAGCGAAAAAACGGTTTATGCTTTGTAGGCATTGCCTTGATAGACGGTATTTTCTTTAGCTATTATTTTACAAAGCTGTTAGTTTAATAACGGTTAAATAATTTTTATACATAAATCTCGATGCCTGGAGTTCAGGGTTACCAAATCTCATTTTTGCCTCAACGGCGATTTAGGCGGTTTTGCAACTGGTCGATGGGCGGTTTTGCAAAAACATCGACGATATATTTATATACATATGTCTGTAAGCTTGCAAGGTTAAATTAAGGCCGACCGCCTATACCAAGAGGTAAACCCGGGAACAACAAATTTATTATTTAGATAAAAGAAGTAACGACTTCTAATCAACCAAGTAAACGTTTAACAAAATTTTGTTTATAATTTTGAATTGTGTGAGGTCAACGCACTGACGTGCTCTTCTGCAAAATTACTCATAATCAATTGAAAAAACAACATTCATAACGAAGAATATACTAATCAGTAGACATGTGGTCTCAGACGTGTGTACATGTATGTATATTGGTATATGCATGCATAAACAAGCAATTAAATAAATAATTTTGTATCTTGAACTTCAATTGCGGGCCGTAGTAACCAACACATATCGGATGACTCCGGGAGCAATCGCAAAGGAGCATGAGACTAATACCACTTTTGATCTCTTTATATGGAATGAACTGTTCGCTTTTGTTCGAGCATGTCCTATGAAGAGACTAATTGTTCACCTTTATACCCGAATGGGTATAAAAAGCGACTAGTCACTTTTAAAAAATAAAAATAAAAATTTGCTCCAGCTGAGATTCGAACTGGGGTGATCAGTTTTGTTAGGCGAATACTCTCTCTGTGTGCCAACGCTGCACATGACATTTCATTGACTAAGTGCGTACATATCATTAAATCGTTAATAGTACCCGTTAGAGATGAGTTGGAGACTAATTGATCTCCAATTATACCCATAAGGGATGAGTCGAGACTAATTGAGCTCTATTAGTGCCCGTATGAGACTAGTTGCGACTAATTAATGCCCAATTGTACCCGATTGAGAGTAATCTCGGAATACTCTCTTTAGAGATTAGTCGCACAATTTTTTGCAGGGATACTATTAAACTCCGGTTTTCAGTAGAACGCATCATCATTAACTTACCTTATTAGCTAACAGTATACAGGGTATAGGACTGCCATCCGGTAATTGAACTTTCGAATCCAAATCTTCTTTCCACTTAGTCACACAATCAAATGTGCCACTACGTGTTACATCGAATACAATGAAAGCGCCAACAGCTTCTTTATAATAGACGCGGGTCATATTGCCGAAACGCTCTTGTCCAGCTATATCCCAAAGTTGCAAACGGACGGTTGTATTTGGATCCCAATGTAGTACTTTCAAAGCGAAATCTACACCGATTGTGGCACGATAATTTTGACTGAAGAACTGATGCACATAGCGTTTGATGAAGGACGTCTTGCCGGTGCCCAATTCGCCGATGACTAGAATTTTGTACAGATGCTCACGCTTTTCTGTATTCGCGGAGGTCATAATTGTCTGAAAGAACAAAAGGAGATACACTTTTTGATGTAGTAGAAATCGAAATCGATTTTTATATTTATATGCAGAAATATGTAGCAAATATCTTTAAAATAACAGTTATTACAACAACTCAGTTAGAATTTTAATGATCACATGTTTGTGTATGTATGCAAGTATACATTAGACTGCGTCAAACCAAAAAAAAAAAAAAATACTGCAATGCGAGCGGACCCCGATTGAAATTTTATTATTTGGTATAGTAAATGAAACTCCCCTCTCTACGATTATTCTAAGAGGTCGCGGATGTAGCGTTTATTTTTCCCATAGGAATAACACGCAAGAAAATGAGTTCTGATCTTTTTAGGTCAATATAACTTTAAAACTTTAGACGAAGCCCAACGATTTTTTTAAATTAATATTCGATCGAATACCAAAGCCGAATATTGAAAATATGCGAATCCGTGACACCACAAAATTCCAATATTTTGCATTTTTTATGAAATAATTCTAATATAAATTTAGATGTAAGACGTATTTACATGTTTATGTAAATATGTATAACCCCAGTTGAACTTGGGAGCATCGTTTCAGTGGTCCACGCCATAGATAAAAAAATATAATTGCTTTTACTTCCTAAACGGGCGATCAAGGAATACTCGCAGAAATATCATCCTACAAACCTCCTCAGGCGAGTACTCTCAGAATATCTTCCCAGAAACCTGCCAAAAAAGACGAACGATCAATATGGCAATCAAACGGGAAATCATCCCAAGTGGTGACCCCGAACTGAAAAGCCGAATGCCGAATCTTAAAGATGTCGTACCACGGAGATGACCCTGAGCAACTGCCCGAATCCCACGTAGATGCATCCATGACCCCACGAACAAATCCACCGAACATGAGCGGCACAAACATAGAGTTATATTTTTTGTCCCTATAATTTTGCTAATTAAGGAATTAATTGCATTTATCGACGACACAAAAGCTATACGACTATATTAAGAGTAAACTTATTCTGCGGATTTCAGTACCGCATAACTATAATCAATCGGTACATGTGATGGCCCGAGGCAATACCGTCAGCAGACATGACCACACCAACTATTGCTAACGCATTGACTACTAATTGGATTGCGAAATATGGAGTGCCTACAGTAGTAACCTCAGATCAAGGTATACAGTTCACTTCCAATTTTTTTGCTGAATTAACAGTCACTCGGTGGCACCTTGCCCACAATTCTCCTTGTCTGGCGTACCGTCTACAAGCAGCATCTATGTGCATCACCTGCCGAGCTCGTTTAGGGCAGCACCGTACGAATACCATCAGAATTTCTTGTTGAGAATCCTAAAAACAAATCACAGTCGGATTTTGTAGTGGAACTCCGAAATGTTATGAACTCTCTCGGACCATCATATAAATACATTCTTCAAAGAAAATTTTCGTTCATCCTGCCCTCACCACATTCAAAAGTGTTTTCGTCAGAAATGATATGGTGCGCCAATCGGTTTGAACACCCTACGAAGGACCGTTTGAGGTTTTATCCAGGCCCAAGAAGTATTTCAAAATCTGAATAAGAGAAAAGTTGAAGAATATTTCTGTGGATCAATTAAAGCCAGCGTTCCTTGTAAATAAGAACTTATCATTGCCACAAAAGAGTCCTATCATATCTACTGAGACGAGACGGCAGTGTCTAAACTTTAAAGAGAATCAAATAGTCTAATAGGGATCGCTTATTTAGTATAGCGGGAAGTACTCTGGCAAGGCTTATACTACGTTATGCAAGCAACCCTTAAATACTTTTTTTTATTTTATAATAGTAAACTACACTAAGATCCGTTCACTCTCTTTTTTTACGTCAAACCAAGAAAATACGTGTTTTTCACAATTCAACAAAAATCAATACTTAAAAACCTTTTTGAGTATTTTTTATAAACTATATATGTATGTATGTGCCTATGTAGATACACTGGCGATCAAAAGTAAGTGCATAGTGTTTTTTGTTAAATATTTGCAATGTTTTTCCAGAGAAATTTTTTCTTGTTATTTGTTTTTTATAAAAACATGGTTTATGTTTTAATCAAAACCACCATAAGCGAAACTTTCAAGCTTTTTTCAGAACTACATCATGGTTTCATCTAAAGTTTGAACTTTTTAGTCTGAATATTTAGAAAAATTCTGGGTATGCAGGTACATCGGTTATGTAATTCTAGTAAAAGGAGTGCAAGTTTTAAGCGGCTAAAAAATCACGTTGATTTTTAATGATTCTTTTTGTCGATGGATTTTGCGGGGTTTTTCATATAACAAATGCAATTTATAAAAAAATAGCGTTATTTTTTTTAAATATTTTTTTTTTCAAACAGTCTTGCGCATTTTATTCTACAAGAAATTCACTTTCATATAGTAAAATAAATAAAAAAGTACCCAAAAATTCAGATTAATAAGTTCTGTATAAAGTTTGAAAGATTGGCTTATGTGTGTCTTTGATTAAAGCAGAAACCATATTTTTAAAAAAAAAAATAACAAAAAAAAAACATTGCAAATATTAAAAAAAACACCATGCACCCACTTTTGATCGCCAGTGTACATGTGCATGCATTTAGGAAAGGCTTATCTCCGAAAAGTGCAACCGACTCTAGTCATCAGACTCAAGGTGTGAAATGTTTGTAATGCCGCTGGGTTCACAAAGTTCGCGATTAGAACGTATCAATCTAATTAAATTACTATTACTTATTTAGAATAACAAATTTTTATACGAACAAATATGTAATTTGTTACATATCAAGGTCCTAAAATCTGTATTCTCATTTGCTCTTATCATCTGCATATACATATGTATGTATGTATACTCGTATGTATGATTGTGCGCTTATGAGGGTTCGCAATTTACTACACAAGTTTGAGTTTGCATTTAAGCTTTTAATCTCCAGTCTTACAAACGTATTAAGGTCACTATGGTTTCTTTGATGAAATTATCTTTCACACTTTATTTCTTACAAATTAATTTGCATACATAAATATACTGCTGCTTTGGCGCATTAATGCCTTTTCTCTTCGTTCGGGGTTGTTGTTGCATAATAATTTATTGGCTTAAAGACAGATTGCCGCAATAAGTGTAACTGAGTATAATATTCAATGAATGACATGCAGCCAGTACCAAGGAATGAAACCGAAACCCAAACCGAAACCGTAACCGTTTAAA